AGGACAGAGGTATGTTTGAATGTCGAACACGTCAATACATCGCCATTGACCATCTTGTGCAAACAGGTCATTACACTACCCTGACAGTCTATAAAACAGCTGCGCGCGTGACGATAAAGAAAGGACTGTGAATCTCAGCGAGAGCTTGTGATGTAACCTGGAGTTCGCAGTAGACGCCGATAGAGAAGCAACATGGAAGGAGTGGCAGGAAAAATAGAGAATCGGGATAAATCCTTTCGCTCTCGATCGAGTCGACGCTAGTTTGAGCACATGGCAGCGAGGGGGTGATAGCGCTGAGGTTGGAGCTGCGACACAATCTCAAGGTCGCGAGCGGCATCATGGCGGCCAAAGAACGCTAGCATCGGACATCGGCGTATCGAGCGGCCGTTCGCACGTGACCTGCGGCACAACGTGCGCTGCCCGCGGGCCCATGGCAGCCCAGCGCCAGCTTCCCGGCGTCCGCAATGCCTCCCACTTTTGCGCTCAACTATGCTGCGCGTTCTGGCTATGTCCATCACCTGCGTCCTATAATCAGACATGCAACATATCCATCAGCCCTAAACCGATTAGCTCGCGATCGCCTAGCGAAATGACACCGTCCGCGAACCTACCGATACCACCGAGCTGTGGCGGCCGACATCGAACACGACGCGAGCTCGTATGGTGAAACTTTCAACAAACATGATCAGTATATGATACGAAGCGATGAAATGCTGGTACCGAAGTAAACGAGAGTTATGGGAGACATCTGCTGCCGCATGTCGGATTAGCTGATCCAGTACCACAATTTCGGGCAGCAGGACACCGGCATTCAATGTCGACCGCCGGCGTCTAACCAGCTACGCTATTGTCAGGCCCACTACACGAGCCATTAGGCGATAACAAGAGGCCGGCTCAGATAATCTGATCATTTCTAGAGATAGAGTAGTGCTTCAAAATATTACTGGTCGACTTTATCAGCATCGGCATTCATTCAGACTAACCCTCACGATACCGGTATCTCGGCTTCTCTATCGGCCTGCTAACATATCCCAGGAACAAACTGCGGAGTGTGGAGTAATCCTACCAATATCTCCGCAAAACCCACTAACACCTAGGGCACACGTAGGTACCTTGTCTACTTAATCATTAACTCTGGCTATCTTCAAGTCTGCCACATTCGATCGAGGGACGATTATTTCACCGCAAGATGTATGTCTCCATCACGGTCTGGACAGGCTTGCTATACACCTTGACGCAGGTACATGCATCATCACAGACCCTGGCGAATCGGCCATGGCTAGATCCAACACTGCCAAACGAACAGCGATTGCAACTTTTCCTCGACCAGTTGAGCAACACCCAGAAATATGCTATGGTACAAGGCGATACCGAGCTCGATGACAACGGAACTGGAGTCAACCCTTGCATAGGACACATCTCTGGCAATGAGACTCTCGGGGTACCCTCAATCTGCATGGGAGATGGCCCAGCTGGGGTTGGAAACAACTTAAACAACGTCACCGCCTTCCCTGCCCCAATTGCCGCCGCGGCTTCGTGGAATACTACCCTCGAGTACGCTTACGGACAAGCATTAGCCCAAGAGCATATGGCAAAGGGCCGCAATGTCGTTCTCTCACCGACTATCAACATCCTCCGGTCGCCACTATGGGCCCGCGCAGCCGAGACCTTCTCAGAAGATCCATGGTTGACCTCTCGAATGGCTGTGGCGGGTGTCCTCGGCGTCCAGAGTCAAGGAGCTTTAGCTTGTCCCAAGCATCTTGCTGGGTACAATCAAGACACTAATAGATTCGGGGTGGGTCCTGATTGGGATACTGTTGACGTTCACATCGATGAGCGGGTGCTGCATGAGCTTTACCTGCCTGCTTTCAAGGCGTCTGTTCAAGAGGCAGATGCGGCTTCTGTCATGTGTTCCTACAATAAGCTGAACGGGTTCTTCGCGTGCGAAAACGACTGGCTTCTGAACACTACATTGAGACAAGAGTGGGGGTTTCAAGGCTTCGTTGTCGCCGATTGGTACTTCTCCACACGAAGCACGGTTGGCGCTGTAATGGCTGGTCTAGATATCAGCATGCCTGGAGGTTCTCTCGAGGATTCATATGGATTCCCAGCCTACTACGGAGACCTTTTGGTTGAGGCTGTCGAAAATGGGACCATACCAGCATCGCGCATCGACGATATGGTTGCAAGAACGTGGCGGTATATGTTCAAGCTTGGAATGGTCGACAATCCAGTCACTGGAGATGCAGAGTCGGTGGCAAGAACACAGTCCCACCTTGACCTGGCTCAAAAGATGGCAGAGGATGGCTCCGTTCTTCTCAAGAACGACGACAATACGCTACCTCTCTCGCCACAGAAGTACAAGCATGTTGCCGTATACGGTGTTGACGGGACCAACCAAAGCCAGGTTACTGAGAACCACGGCGGCTTCGTCATTGACACGACAATGGTAGTGCAGTCGCCTTTCGACGCATTGAAGCAACGAGCTGGCAAAGAAGGCAACATGACAGTCACTTATTCTGAAACCTATCCTGGTACCGGGCAATTTCCAACGGTGCCTTCTAGCATGTTCGTCGACGGTGGTCTGAATGTCACATACTACACGACTACTGACTTCTCTGGACCCATCAACCAAACCGACTTTGTACCCAACATCACCTCGGCCTCATTCCCCAAGGAGCTCTGGGTATCATGGCCCCAGGTGTTTTCCTGCGTATATGAAGGCACCTTCAAAGCTAACACAACCGGGATGTACCATTTCTCCCTAACCGGCCAAGGAGACGCCATACTTCACATCGACGGACAAGTCATCGCCAACATGTCGAAAGCGAACTTTGGAAACACCGTTCAAGGTATCGCGAACTTGACAGCCGGAGATGAGGTTTCCTTGGCCCTGAACTATTCCATGGGCTACTCGCTGTCTACTGGCGCATATGGCATCACACTGGGAGTCGATGTAGGCAACGAAGCAAGGGACGAAGAAGCGATTTCGCTCGCAGAAAATGCTGATATCAGCATCGTCTTCGCGTCCGACAGGCATTCCGAAGGTGTTGATAGCAACATTGGCCTTTCTCTCCCCGGCGACCAGGACGCAGTCATCTCTCGGATCGCCAAACGTTCGAAGAAGACAGTAGTTATCCTCAACACCAACTCCGCCATTCTCATGCCCTGGATCGATGAGGTAGATGCCGTGATGCAGTCATGGTACGGAGGCCAGCAGATTGGCCTGGCGCTTGAAAGATTACTGTTCGGCGATATTAGTCCGAGCGGCAAATTGCCGGTGACGTTCCCCAAGACACTGGGTGACGCTATCAAGATCACGGCAGATCTTGTTGTACCCTACGAAGAAGGGCTGAACGTTGGCTACAGGTGGTACGATGAGCACAAAGTCGATCCGCTGTTCTCATTTGGCCATGGACTCACATACTCGACGTTTGAACTGGACAATCTCGCCGTGCACCTCGCAAACTCTACTGCCACATCTGATTCTGAACGCGCCATTTGTTCCACAGTTTTGACAAACACTGGAACAGTCTCTGCGTCGGAAGTGGTTCAGCTTTACGTGTCGTATCCGGAGGCAGCGCGTGAGCCTCCCAAGCTGCTCAAAGCATTTGCTAAAGTGTACCTCGGGGCAGGTCAGAGTACAGATGTTCTTCTGGAGGTGCTTATGGATGATTTGAGGATCTGGTCCGAGCAGAAGAAAGACTGGGATTTTGTACATGGCGAGTATAACTTCCTTGCCGGATTCTCGGCGAGCGATATTAAGGTAGAGGAAAAGATGGTTCTTTAGATGTGCTACAATAAATGGAGTTCGAGTGTACAGTATTATCGCAAGTTATTGATCATGTGACATTGTCAACGGCATTCAGGTTTGTGACAAGAATGCGCCCTGGCCAATATTAAACCCAGCGTTGGCGAACAAGAAGGCCCAGGCTTCGTCGTCTACAAAGTCAATATTGAAGGTTGACGCATCTTCCGACGCAGCATCAAAGGTGGTCTGATCATTGTACGCTGGGGTAATATCAGGTCTCTGCGTAGTCTGCGCATGGGCGGACGCAGGTTGGTGGCTGGCCGGGTCCACGGCTGCGGCGGACGCGGCCGCTACGTGCGAAAGCGAAGATGTATGACGCGCCTGCATTGCTTCGTGCTGAGTGGAAACATTGCGCAAAAACGCTGCTTGTAATGCGCAGCTTGTGCTGGTTGGCGCTTGGAGTTTCTCGAATACTGTCGCAGCATTGCGAATGCTATCCAGCGCTGGCATTTCCATCTCGGACCGGATATATGATGGTGCTGAAAGTAAGAGCTATATCCGATGTAAGTAGTTGGCTTTATAAAGGTGAGTTATTAAATACCTTGATGAGGAATACTGCGGCATAGGCGATCATGACATGCACACTGTCCTGAGCAAAGTACAATAGTTGAGATGCCGAAGTTTCAGAAACGAGTTTAAGCATGTCGAGTGCGCTTGAGTAGCTGTTCCATATAGCTTCTGTATCGACAGAAGTCACAATATCCTTCAGTTTGATGGATGCGCGTAGTGAGGAAGTGTATAAGAGTAGCCGCGCGTAGCTGCCATAGAACGGGATCAGAAATGACTAAGAAATGGCGGGCGAAGTCAGTACACTTCTCGCATCAGTTCGTGCATGAATCTTACTTACATGACAATCCTCGCCTCGCTCAGATACTTTCCCAGTCCACCTCTTTTGCCAATTCACAATTTCTGCATCAACCATACGTAGCGTGGATCGATAGCGCGACGTGTCATTTCTTTGCTGTTGAGCATATTTTGTCGTCATCATCTCGAAGTGGGTGGACGTGATGAGGCGAAGGGATACAAATGCGCAAAGTAGCCGGTCATTGGCCATCTCAAGAGGATGTAGGTACCAATTGCTCACTGATTCTAGATAGTTGCTCCTCTCAATCATCCAAGGTTTACCGGTCTGCATACTGATGCTGTACACATGTCAGTATCCTATGATAAGTTCGAAACCATCCTACCCCTACCTTCGGTCGTAGACAAAGAGCACCAACCAGGTTCTTTCTATGTTCCTGAATCGCACCGATTGAAGATCAGTCGTATTCTCCGGGGGTCTCATGCCATCACTCCCAAGATGATGCCATCCAAGCTCGATGGCCATCCTGACAGCGAGGCCTACATTTAACCATGCACGGTTATCGCGAGGCTCCTTCCAATATGTCAGAATTAGTATGGCCTGAACTGTCTCAACAGATTTTGCACCACTGCGGAAGCTCTCCAGGAAAAGCTCTTCAGCATGAGAAAGCAAATTTTTGCGTAGCGCAGGATGCAAAAGCTTTGCCGCTGCCGCCAAAATAGCGGTAAAAAGGAACGACGACATCTCCCGAACGTACTGGAAGGTATGTAGCGTAGGATCCAATTGGCTGATGAAGGGGTTGAGGTGCTTCATGAATCCTTCAAACAAATCGGTAGCAAAATGAAGGTTGACTACGCCTCTGCTGATTGGATCATCATCGGAGGTGCCCTGTGTGCATTCCTCTGAGGCATGTCCGTGTTCAGTACTGAGCACATTCTGCAAGGAGAAGTCTCCTCTTGTGATCTGTCGGTTGAGAATGTCAGAAAGCCGGAAGCCTCTGTTCTCCGTCCAGAAATCCTGGCTTGAACGTTGCATTGACTGGGGTCGAGAACGCGGTCTAGAAGCTGACCTTTGAGCGCGATGTGTATCTATTGACGGATTCGCATCACCCACTACAACAACATCATGATCAACATGTTGAGCTTCATCATCCCATGATGTTGTCGCAGCATCCTGCTGACTTCTTGAGCCTGATTTCTGCAATCTACAAAACACATCAGTCACTTCGTCTGATGGAAAAAGCAGGAATGGCGAACTTGAAACCATGCTTTCGACCGCGCCGGTGGTCAAGAAAGTCACACTGTAACGACTTGCGCGTACATCTGACACACCGCGTATTTTGCGCCGTCTTGTGGCACTTCATCTTGACTTTGCGACATTGCAGGCAAGCGTGTGGTCTTCAAACAGATCAGTCACGCAACTGCAGTCGACCCGGAGCGGACTCACACGGCTTTCGGGGGTTGGCGACCAGGCGCGTCATCAACCTCTGTCATCTTGAATATGTTTATTAGACATTGAGATCAGACCGGACTGGAACGGACACAATAGTAATAGTTGGGTAGTGTGTTGTTGGAAAGAGTAAGGCATCCAGGTGTCTTATCGCTATCTTCACACGCTAACCGCTTTGGAAGCCTTCCCGAGGTCCTTTCTGACATGACACCTGCTCCCATCATTTTCCCTCCACGGCATTCAAGGGGAAAGCTCGACGCCCACTTACAAAGCTCTTGCAGCGATACGAACATCTCGGAACCGCTGACCCCGCACGGCTCTCTCAAACCGGACGCAGCACCAGGCTGCGACTTCGGTCCACTTCTATCGTTCTTGCAGATCGCCGGTGTTCTACTATAGATTGAGTCGCCGGTGGCATGGCACGTGCCCTCATGGCCTTGTGCATCCATGCACCATACCATCGCATGGGTTTTTCCTCAAGACCTAGGTAATTCAGGTCAACATCAACTCAACGCACATCTAGGTACTACGCAACTAGCAACATGACGCAAATACCACGTTCGAAGGCCAAGACGGCGCACGTCAACATGATGACCGATACCATCATAGCAAACCTACCGGCGGATGCACTTCGAAGCGTGATCAGAGTCATCTTGACAACGGAGCCATCAGCTACAAGCATCCTAGAAGAACAGACGCGAATCTATCTCAAGAAAACCGCCAATCAGCCCGTCGATCAGCTGTTCCAATCGACGACCGAGGGGGTTGCCTCAACCTCGAACTTCACATGGGCCCAGCAGCGCCTACGTTGCGCCATAGGATGCGGATTGGTTCTCGAAAGCTTCCCAATACTCAACAAGATCGTAGACGAATCCGTCAGCCTTGCCGATCAACACACCGTGCCTCGGTCGACAGAACTCAACCATAGTTTAGCCTCTGTTGACGGTGATATCGTGCAGGCATTGACTGCGATTCAAAAGCGCCTGTTGTCCGATAGTGGTAGCAGAGACCTCAACGAAGAGGAGAGACCGGTTATGGACTCGCTCTTCACTTCATTGCTACGATGTCACCAAAGATGGCTTGCATCTGCACAAGACTTTCCTTTTGAACGAAGCACTGCAGTTCTTGCGACTATGCTTGGCCGCGAAAGCGGTATACCGACACTGGCCCATCAGAATAGCTCTTGCCAAAGTCAAATTACCGGACGGAAGACATCGACCTCTATCGAGACTTTCAAAGTCAAGGGTATCGAGCTGCCGAAGCTGTTCGCGGGCCTCTGGCAACTGTCTAGTCCATCATGGGGTACTGCGTCACAAACACAGATGTTCAAGCAATTTGCAGAGTACATTGCAGGTGGCTTCACTGCCTTCGACATGGCTGACCATTACGGCGATGCTGAGGCTATATTCGGACGCCTGAGAGCCTCGCTAGCTGAACCTGAGGCCGTTTTCGGTGCCACGAAGTACTGTGTATTCCACAAGATTACCGTAACCCCCGAGGTCATCGGCGCCAACGTCACAGAGCGGTGCCAGCGCATGAGCGCCAGCAAGGTCGATCTTCTGCAATTTCATTGGCAAGATTACAATGACCATCAGTATATCGAAGCGCTGCGACTGTTGAAGCAAGACGAACGAGTTCGACATCTGGGCCTTTGCAACTTCGATACAGCGCGTCTCCAAGAAGTCATTGACAGTAAGATTGATGTCGTTACCAACCAGGTCCAATTTTCCCTTATCGATGCACGACCGCGATTTGGAATGGGCGAGGTTTGCACGCGACACAATGTCAAACTCCTCACATATGGCACTCTTTGTGGAGGCTTCCTTGCTGAGAAGTGGCTCGGCAAACCTGAGCCACAGTTGTTTGGCCCCGATACAACACCTTCTCAACGGAAATACTTTGAAATGATCCAGACTTGGGGTGACTGGGACCTGTTCCAGACGTTACTGCAGACTTTGAAGGCTATCGCGACCAAACACAATGTCTCCATCTCGAATGTCGCAACGAGATGGGTTCTCGACTTCCCATACGTGGGGGCCGTCATCATTGGCGCACGCATGGGCGTTAGTGAGCATACGGAGGAGAATCTGAAGACGTATGGATGGAAGCTTGATGAAGAAGATCAGAGGAGCATTGAAGAAGTGCTTGAGAAGAGCAGAAGAGAAGAAGTATTCAAAGTCATGGGCGATTGCGGGAGTGAATACAGGTAGAAGAGAATTTTTGGCCTATGGCTTGTACATCAAACGGTTTTCGAGTAGGTTCCAGAATAGCTGGTAAACCTTCGTCAGTAATATGGTCTGGTTGTGATCACGGGCGCGTCGCGTCATTCCAGCCCGCCCGTGCGCTCGCCTCATCTTCATGTGCCAGCTCTGTACGATCTCTCCCTGTAACCCACCACGCGACCGCCTCTGATGCTCATGCCGACCCAGTCCTCTCCTATAGGGACGCCTTGCGGGTTTCGAAATATCAGCAACTGGCATACGCTCGCAAGCGCCTACATCGGCTGCCACGGCTGACATCACCGCCAAACACGCGCATCATGCCCGCACCACGCGCCTATCGGCCATCGCCTCAGCGTCCATCGCCGCACCGTCGCTCCCAATCCTCACGATCCAGGCTACCGAGCTACTACACGCGTGTCACTTCCATGTCCTGGATGTGCCGCGAGATAAAAACATCGTCGCGCGATTGAGGGCATGGTGGGCTGGTGCACCAGCTCTTAGCATAACGATGGAGACGATGATGGGTACGGTGGTCATACTGGTGACATTTATTGGGACTACCTAGAGAGCTGTTCGCAGCCTCTAGTGACGCCGCGACGCTTCAAAAGCTGGATAGATCGATATCGCGACTGTGTTGAGCGCAACAACACGTCTACGAACATATGCTCGGTGTGCGCTTGAGACCCTTACACCTACACATTCATCCCCGCCAAGGCTCCTAAGACCATCTCGTGATAGTCAATGCGCCGAGTGAAGCACGGAAAACAGATATGGCATGCGTATATCTCACTCCAAAGCTCAAGAGTTTCCTTCCAGACCAACCACCGTGGTATCCGCATGACTGAAGGTCCGCAACCCGGTTCGTATGATCTTGAGCTGAGATTTACAATTCGGATCCGGACATGCGATCAATGCATCCGTGGACATCCAATCATGCGCGTGAGTTGGTCGTTGCTTGGCCGCTAGCAGAGGCAGTACTGCCGCTGAAATGCCAACCTTATCAGTTCTTGAAATGTGAAGCATTTGTGCTTGCAACTCACCTAAGCTGTAGAAGCTTATGCCCTGTCCTTCGGGAAGACGAAGCATCTCTCCTTGAACAGTAAAGTAGTCTCCTTCCTTGGCTCCACACAAGATACGCTCGCCTGGCGGACAAACCACCTCAACCCGCAAGTCGTACAATTGGAAAGAGTCGTCCTTGGCCGATGACATTCTGTTGCCTTTGGAAGTTTGCGTTGCTGATGTTTTGCACGCTCATCCCGTCTCTTGGATTCTATTGACTCCCCGTTTGGAGAAGGGTGGGGCCACCGGCGTTCTAAGCATGACAGATAGCAGCCGGCATTTCATGACACCCCAGCACGATCGCCGGTTTTCGGGCGCCCTGACCAGCCCCTATCAGAAACTAGAACCCCGCTATCAACGGTTACGGAGTCACTGAATCCCCCGTAGATGCCGAACTGCTAAGTGAGATAAGCTTCCCGCTTCGGCTTGGTACTTGTAGGAACCGTTGCGCGCTCCCATGCCGATAGAGCATCATCATGGATCTATCAAAGAAGGATGCTACGCAAGTTGCGCAAACTTCTGCGTCAAATTCAGACGTCGAACATGGAGCCGTCGGTACGACTTATGAGGTCAAACGCGATCTCGGGCGTCGCCATATTAACATGATTGCCATAGCTGGCATGATCGTATGTCAAACACTTCAAAGCATTCTTGTAATCGCCATACTCATGCATCAACTTTAGGGTACCGGACTTTTCTTAGCATCCGGCCAGGCCATCGCTACCGCAGGTCCAGTCGGCGCTCTCTTCGGATATCTGTGCATGGGATTAATTGCTTGCGGCGTCGCCTTGTCTGCAGGAGAGATGTCGGCATTCATGCCGGTCACTGGAGGATTTGTTCGCCATGCTACGAAGTTCGTGCAACCTGCACTCGGCATCGCAACCGGATGGAACTTTTGGTACACCATGGCAATCACAGCACCAGCTGAGCTCGCCGCTGCGGCAACCTTGATCAACTTCTGGGACAACAGCATTAACCCTGCTGTTTGGTACTCGGCGTTTATTGTGATCATCGTGGTCATCAACTTCTGCGGGGTGAAGGTTTATGGCGAGGTGAGTCCTGATGCAACCTACTTTTGGCTCATATATCTAACAATTGAAAGAGCGAAGTTTTCTTCGCAGCTCTCAAGATCCTCCTCATCATAGGTCTCATCATCGCCGGCCTAGTCGTAGACCTTGGAGGATCCCCCAGTGGAGATCGAATCGGCTTTCGGTACTGGAAGAACCCCGGTCCTTTCAACGAATACATCGTCCCTGGTAACACTGGCAAGTTCCTCGGGTTCTGGAGCTCCTTGATATCAGCTGC